TTTGATTACAAGACTCATCGTAGACTTTGGGAATTTTAACACTTTTGCTATTTTTGAGGCAGACCACGAAGGGTTCTATAGATGTTTGTCCACAATTAATTTTCTTTTCTCAAGTTCCATGATCCGTAATTTCGGGATGCGTAGATCAATCAAGAAAGACTTTTCACCAATGAAACATCAACAAATGCCTGTCAAACATTTTTTGTTCCAACCACCAGGGGCACGGTGCCCCGAGCAAAACTGGAAATCAAATTGAAATCAATACACGGATAGAAATCTCCTTATACCTTTTGGCAAATTTCTATTGCTGATTATTCATAAAATGTATAAGTCAGCTAATAAGCAGACGCCTTGCAAAAAGTTAATGAAGCTCATGTGTCAAATGAAATGTATAAGCGGTCACACATACCTTTTATGCATTCTTGTAGGACCCTGAGTGGTGCGAAGTGAAATTTTCTTCATGTTGGTAGTGTTGAAATAAACGTTTCATCACCGTCGGTTGGTAGAGAGAAGTGTCAAACGGCTTTTTGTGCAGACCCGATTCGTGACTTTGTGATTGTTTGTTGACATTGTTCATAGCTGGAGTTTTTACGGAGTGGAATAAAATTTTTATTTGTATAAATTGTTGCAAATCAGATGCAAATTTAATGTGGCCGACGATATCTATGGAAGTGCTGTCGAAATTCCCTGGGACCTCCAATGGCAACGATTTGACTTCCCTCCAAATCGTGTGAAACTCGAACATGAAAACTCTATAGAACCCCCGTAGAACCTCGCTGGCAGCAACTAAAATATCCACTGAAACCTCTTCTGTCGCGGGAAAAATCTGTTGAAATTTTCTGGAACTTTTGTACTATCATCACAAATCTCCTTAGAACGTTCTCCGAAGTCACAGTCGTTCCTGAGCGAAAAAAAATCGGAGGGGTTTTTTTCAGCGCAGGAGTCTACTTTGGTCCAAAATACGCAATAATACTGTTATTTTTAATTGTTTGAGTCGTTTCGAATCACGTTTTTAAAAAGATCAAAAACATTACTGAAAAATATTTATTTTTTATTTTGGACGATAACAATACTTCTATCTATTTCAACGAACCACAATGATAAAAAAGTGGTTCGATTTGACAACTCGAAAGTGGTTCGATTTTGAGGTCCGTCTTCGCACCACTCAGGTAGGACCTATGTGGTTTGTCTTATGGAATGTATAAGGCTGATGCTTTGGCAAAAATGTATAAGGGAAACACATGAATAAAATAATTGATTTTCGTTTCGTGTAGTTGCTTTTATGATGTAACTTATTTTGAATACTCTAGTTTATATCATTTTGGTTGACTTAACGGTTAACACAGCAAAAATGAGGGCAATATTTTACACTGTTGAATCAAACGGAAAACTAATCCTGCTTTCAATGAAATCAATTTGATTACTGATTTTGCATTCATAATGTATAACTGAATACGGGCCTGGCGTAAATGGTTAGCATCAATGCTTCTCACGGTGAAAGACTTGAGCTCAAATCTCACCCCGGTCAAGTCACAAATGACCTAAAATGTGTTAAACAAAACAAATACACAATACTCGTTAGTTCAACGACAAATGAACTTAAATTAAATTTTAAGCAAGACGATAACAGCAAAAGTTCAAGTTAAGTTGCTTTCATTTAAAAAGTCTTGACTGCATAATGAAAGCACAACATGATATCAGACTACTGTCGCGACAATTGAAATCAAAATGAGCTTTCATTATGATAGGAACTGCAACATTTAACATCGATTTGCTTTCATTTTGTTAACCGACCTACTTTGAATCGAGCTTTATTCTCCTTCTAAAGACTGGACTCGGAAAAAATGCGACACTTTGTATTGAGTGTAACTTTTTATCGCGTGGGTAAAAATTAATGAATTTTTGGGTAATACTAGTTTAAAGTGTTATGTTTATGTGTGCAAAATTGTATCGCGATCTGTCAAGTAATTTTCAAGATGCATTCGAAACAAGAAGAGCTACGCCAGCAAATCTTGGGCGCGGTGATCGATAATCCTGGTCAGTCGCACATATGGATCGGCAAAAGGCTTGGAATCCACCATTCTACCGTGTCCCGCGTTGTAAAGATGTTCCAGGAGATGAAGACCATCGAGCGGCGCGCTGGAAGCGGCCGAAAACCGAAAACGGAATACCCAGAGAAGGCGCGGAAGATAAGGCAGTACTTTAAAAATAACCCGAACCTTTCCACCCGAGACGTGGCCAAAAAGGTCAATTCGTCGAAGTGGTTCGTCCAGCAGACCATGAAGCGGGCTGGGCTACGTGTTTTTAAGGTCAGGAAGGCGCCAAACCGGACTGACAAGCAAAACACGGTGGCCAAATTGCGTGCGAGGAAGCTGTACCGTGAGTGGCTGGTCAAGCCAGGCTGTCTCGTCATGGACGACGAGACCATACATCAAGGCGGACACCAAACAAATCCCCGGCCTCGAGTTTTTTGTCGGTACGTCCCGCATGGAGGTTCCGGAAAAGTTCCGGAAGAGAAAGATGGACAAATTCGCGAAGAAGTGCCTGTTGTGGCAGGCGATCTGCGAGTGCGGACGGTACAGCAAGCCGTTCGTTACAACCGGCACCATAAACGGGCAGATTTATCGAGAGGAATGCTTGCAGAAGCGCTTGCTGCCCTTCCTCCGCTCTCACCGTGGTTCCACGCTGTTCTGGCCGGATCTCGCTTCGTGCCATTACGCCAAGCCTGTAATGGATTGGTACGAAGCGAAGGGCGTTAATGTGGTCCCGAAGGAGGCGAACCCTCCAAATACACCAGAACTTCGTCCGATCGAAAAGTTTTGGGCGATAATGAAGAAGAAGTTGAAGAAAAGTGGAAAAACATTCAAAACCGATGAAGCTTTGAAGAAAAACTGGGAGAAATTGTGTAAGGAAGATGGGCAAAGCCTCGCCCAAGATCTCATGAGCAGTGTTAAGAGAAATGTACGAACATTCAGCTTGGGGGAGGAAATTCAATAACTAAATTATGCCAAAACATATATAGTTATATATAGTTATTTAATCCCTGAAAATTTGAGAATTATCCGATTTAAAATGAATTTTTGGTGATCATTTATGTGTGTCTTATTTTTTCCGAGTCCAGTCTTTAGTAAAGGGTGATACGGTCAAAATTTGGTCAAGGGAAAACGCGTGTAAATCGGTGAAATCGTTTATTTAAAAAATCAAATTAAATTTCTTTTTCAAGTTCAATTAGTATAAAATTCAGGAAAAATATTCAGTTAGGCTTCCGCTTTTCCAAATCCGAATTGCCGGGCCTTACGCTTGACCCCTGCCATCAGATTTTGTACAGCCACCTTGTCCACCTTCTTCGCCGCAGAAAGCCAGTTTGCCTTGAACTGCTGCTCGCCCTTAGCAGTTTTTTTGGTCTTCTTTAGGTTCCGCTTGACAATAGCCCAGTATTTCTCAATTGGGCGGAGCTCTGGCGTGTTGGGAGGGTTCTTGTCCTTGGGAACCACCTGCACGTTGTTGGCGGCGTACCACTCCATGGCCTTTTTAACGTAATGGCAAGATGCCAAATCCGGCCAAAACAGTACGGAACCACCGTGTTTCTTCAGGAAAGGCAGCAGACGTTTATTCAAACACTCTTTCACGTAAATTTCTTGGTTGACAGTCCCGGAAGCTATGAAAATGCTGCTTTTCAAGCCACAGGTACAGATGGCTTGCCAAACCAGATATTTCTTTGCGAACTTTGACAGTTTCATGTGCTTGAAAACATCTGCTACCTTTCCCCTTCATTTTGCCGTATAAAACTCCTGTCCCGGAAGCTGCTTGTAGTCGGCTTTGACGTAGGTTTCGTCGTCCATTACCACGCAGTCAAACTTCGTCAGCATCGTCGTGTACAGCCTCCGGGATCGCGCTTTGGCCGTCGTATTTTGTTTATCATCGCGATTTGGAGTCACTACCTTCTTGTAAGTCGATAGTCCGGCTCGTTTTTTGGCTCGATGCACTGTTGTAGACGATACACCCAGCTTATTTGCGGCATCTCGGAGAGAGAGGTTAGGGTTTCGCTTGAAACTACCGGCAACTCTCTTTGTCGTCTCAGCGGCTTCCGGTTTTCGATTTCCCCCCGATCCAGACTTCCGGGCTGTCGACAAACGTTCCCCAAACACTTTAATTACATTTGTTACGGTTGATTTGGCAACTTTTAGCGATTTTGCCAACTTTGCGTGCGAGTAGCTCGGATTTTCGCGATGCGCGAGCAAAATTTTGATACGCTGCTCTTCTTGCTTGGACGGCATTTTGACAACTGAAGAGTGAATTCCAAAATCAAAATAGGAGCAACATTCTACACACACACACACCTTCAAAATGAGGAGTGTTCAGGTTTTTTAAATGCAAAATTGAAAGAAATACGTCAAGTTGATATTGACCAAATTTTGACCGTATCACCCTTTAGTTCTCAATGTAGGTGGCGAAAGCTCGCAAAAGTTTCACTGCAAGGCGCCAATTAGTAGACTCCTAGACCACAGAGAACAGACGTTCAAGCTCGGTCAGAAACTTGTGTAAAATAAGTGGGAACGTCGCCGTTACGTGGTGTTAGCATCTCCTGATTTTCTCTATAAATTTTCCACTTTGGCGCTAGTATCGATAAATTTTCTGTTGAAAATTGCCACTTGGCGCTACTAGCACTTAGTGTCTAGTGTAATTTGTGCAACGCCAGCGCCATCATGTTGTCAAAGAGGATTTTTAAGTGGGGAAGTCGCCGTTAGTGGCGCTTAAGTCGAATAGGAATCTTTACACAAGTTTTTAGAGAAATTTTGTTCGAGCCTCCATGTCTGTTCTCTGTGTACTTAGTACGGAAAACAAGATCGACGGAAAACAAATCAAAGGAAAAAAGCATCATATCTACATAGTTAAGTTTGCTAGTTGTGTGCTGGAGAAAATACCTATGAAGTAAAGTCTACAAACTGTGTCCTTGCTTATCAATTTTGATCTTATAATCTTATAATGTTAATACTCACATTCATCAGCGAATCGTAAACGACGTTCCCAAGATGCGCCTCGTCTACCAGTAGCCTCATCACGTCATGCATCACGAACTGGCTGTTGATAATGTGCGAATTTCTCAGTGCCATCGAGCAGAGCTTCATCAACGCTCCATTTTCATTCACGCTAGCCAGCTTCAGTGCCGTTTTCATCGGAGACAACCGCGCCACGTTGTAGGTCATCAACGCTTCGGTAATTTTCCTTCGCTTCAGCAGAACATCGCCCGCGTATTCCACACACGTCGCCAGCGGCAGTCCGAAGGTGGTGCAAAAATCTTCACAAGCCGCCCATAGTGACTTGTGTGCCAACTTCAGGAACAGATTCCGCGCCGTATCGTTCAGTTCGATCGAGTAGAGGTTTTTATCTGTGATGATCAAAGCTCGATCGAAATCTACCCTCGGAAACTCGCCGACCATCACTTGGCTTTCGTGAGTTTCCAACTTTTTGTCCATTCGTAGATTCCGTTGCATTTTGAGATAGTTTGAAACGGTCGATTTTTGGAAGAACGATCGAACGTCCCCCGGTTCGTCCTGTGCATTGAAGCTAAATTCATCTGAATCCTTCGATTCGCTCCTATCCCCCAAAGGACTGATCCGATGAATTTCCAGGATCTTTTCATCCGGAAACTGGAATAATGCCAGCATGGCATGTTCGTTGAAATCGCAGTCGTCTCCCATTTTAACCGCAGCTATCTGGCAGCTCACTACAGACACAGCATTCACCGTATCCGTATTGGTAGTCTCCGTCGTGGCGTCTTCGGCCTGCGTATGACTTCGACTGCTGCCTAGATTTTCGATGCTACTATCCGTATTGCGTCGGGGCTGATCCTGAAGCTCTTCGACCGTCTCCGTGTTTGCATCCGGAGATGAATTTGTGCTTTCGGTTGTCCTCTCCGATCCCAGGTTCAGGTGATGCATAACGTAGATGACGTTCCTCGTTAGGACAGTCGATTTGCATTGCTTCGGCACCTTGTAGATGTGTAGCGGAATAAGACTGATGTCCATACTGTGCACCGAAAGCGTATCCGAGTACGAATGTAGTGCACTTAACAAGTACTTGCCGTTCATGTACTGGACAACAAAGTACGGCCCAGCCGGTGTGGTCAAAATCTCCGGATACATCCCCGGTAGCTCCATCACAGCCAGATTCGCCGCATGTTCCTTAATCCTTTCCTTCTCTTTGGCTTTGATCCTACTCTCGGACAGTTTCAACTTCAGTGTCCCAATCTTCTTCGCACCTAGATCCCTCAAAGACATAAGTCTCGCCCTCGCTGCAGGGAACAGTTTTGGCAACGCTCCCTGTGGATCCTTCCCGTCCACTTTTCCCTCTTCACTCGAGGGCTCTCCTTCGACTTTCTCGAAATCATCACTAGACTGTGGTTCTGATCCACTCGGACTCGAACCCTTCTCTCCACCACTATCGGCTCCCTGCTCTACTCCACTTCCCGAACCCTCTTTCGGCAGTGAAAGCACAATCTGCCAATCATCCATCAATCCGGAATCCGGCTTCTCTCCATCCCCCAACGACTTCAACATCTCCGCCTTCAACTCCTGACTAGAACTAGGAGAAATATCCCCCGGAAACGTATATTTTATTGATTTTTGCTCCAGCAGTAGCTTCCACTGCTCCTTGGTTGACGTGTTGATCATCAAACTGATTGTTTCCATGCTATTATCCTGACAGATGATCAGTTTCTCGATCGATCCTCTCTCACAGTTTGTGTTCCCCAAAAAGGGACAGTTTGGTGTCAACGCCACCACGCAGATGGACCCATCTGAGTATCCGAGAATCGCTCGCGGTTCATTCGTCAGCGTTTCCCACCAACTGCAGCACGTCGGATACGGACAAGAAACCGAAGCCGTCGATCCGATGCTGGAGCTGATCGTTCGACTACAACATTCTTGCGGAGTTGAAGCTTTGGTGTCTACTCCACTAGCCTCACCAGCAGCAGCATTCTCATCCTTCCCTTCGGCGAAGAAATTCTCGATCGTTTTCATCGCAATCGGTGTGCTGGGATCCTGCGTGGTCGTCTGCTGTTCACCTCCGTGAAGCTGATTGTAGATGCTGTTGAGGGAGAAAATCTCATCTATTTTGTGAGTGGTGTGCATGGACTCGGATCGTTTGAGAACCGGGTCGGTGCCCAGTTCGGACCCCGATAGGCTCGATTTGGAGCTGACTTCTGAGACGATCGACGAACGGTGTGATTGTACTGCTGAGGATAGATTGTGCGAGTTGTTGGGACATGTTTGTGGATTTGGACATTCATGGGGACCGATGAACGGTACGATGAAGGAGGTGATTTCGTCCCTGTTGAAGGTGGGCTCCACATGGGTGGATTTGTCGCAGATCGAGAGTGCCGGAACGATGTGAAGCGTGTTGTCGTAACCTGAAAGGGGAAGAGAAAAGCAAAATAGCTGGTTAGTTTCTGCTAGATTCTTTCGTTTCGTTTTCGGTTTCAAGCACCAAAGGGGGGTCATAGGGACAGGTCTCCAGTGAAAAATCACTGCAACTAGGTTTTACATCGCAGAATAATACCCTTTGGTTTTTTTATTATGTCAGCCCTATACTGTAAACCTATTGCAACTAACCTACCTTTTAAATAATTTTAGATAAAATATTCACAGCTATGAGCATACACATAGTTCCATACAATTCACAAAATTTATTTAATCTTTTGGTTTTTATGCTTAGCTTAGACTGACTGCACATATCAATGGTTGCTACTCCGTGATTGATCAGAATCAGTGAAATTGTACAATGAATCAACTGAATGGGGTTGGGAGTGACCGTCCATTCTCATTGTACAAGTTTCAGTGACTCCATATTTTGTAGATCAATAACGGCGCCGGCCAAGTCCTTTCAATCAGGTGGGAGTAGGGAAGGAATATTAGAGTGACCTTTGTTGTTTGTGGGCCGTGTTTACCTCTTCACCCCAACAAAAGACATAGGAAAGGAGATTTTGTTAGTAAGTTGGGTTCGTTGGATCAGGATTCACCTTGATAAGTGATGCAACCATGGTTTTAAATGAATCAGTGTTATCATGCATTATACTTGGATTTGCCTGAAGCCTATACAAAATGGTGGATCATTATAATATAAATCTGAAGACGTTCCATCATCGAAAAGCTGAAAATAAACTTAGAGCATGAGCATGAGTAAAATTCAACGTCCGCGACGAGCTGAAAACCAATTCAATCAAATCAAATCAACAGACAAAACTAGGGTTAAAGCTCTAAGAGTGAATCATTACAGTATAAATCTTATTATGCTCCGTTATCGAAAAGCTGGAAGAAAACGTTTTTTTTTAAATTTATTTTTGAGATTTTTAACCGTAGGCTAGTTCATCCCGTTCATGAAAGGTGGGGCCTCAGAAGGAGGACCCCCAACAGAGTAATTTTTTACAGTGTTTACTTCAACCGAAAATTGGTTCCTGGCTCGATCGTACAACATTAAAATCTGAATAAGACAGAGCTCCACACCGGGAGAACCGGGAGGGCCCCGACTAGACAGAGATGTCCCAACAGCCGAAAGGAAATTAAAAAAGACTAAACTTTAAAATACAATGCAGCATCCGTGGAATTCCCGCAGGTTCTGATGCTGAAAGGCATACGCATAGAGTTCTACAACCGAAGCAAGTCCTGTGGAACGGCGTTCGACCGAAATTGTGCGAGATTTTGGTGTGACCGGTCCTCAAACGCGACGCTATCTTCTGTTCCCGCTTGTTAAACTGTTCTGTCCATTTCCTCGTCGTCCCTTTGATCCGTCTGATGAAGAGCGAGCGGTTTTGCTTCCCGTACTTTGCTCACGATCCAGCCAAAGTTGCCTGGTATTTCGCAGTGCCCCGGAACCCAGCAGAATACCGTGTTTGGTGGCGCGGACTTCATCGTCGCCTGTACCCAGGGATGAGTCGGGGCCTCGGATGTCAGGACTTGTATGATGCTGTGCGAATCCTTGAGGACCAGGATCGGTCGGTTGGAGAGCGTTGTAGCAGCGATGAAAATGACAGCAGCTTCAGCAGAGAAGACAGAACATTGCGGCGGTTGGTGTGATGTTTTCGGCTAGACCGATACCGACCCCGGCTCGAGAGCAAGATCCGTCCGTGTATCGGTGAGTGTGCGTGGGGTATCTTTCTCTTAACATTTCAGCTACAGTCTTTTTCATGGCCACGGAATTGTCTCCGACTTCGAACCTGTCCTTAATCCGGCTATCGATTTTCGGTAATGGTGTTTGCCAGCATTTGTCTCCATGCCAGTGGACCCTGGCTACTGGGGGGGGGGGGGGGGTGATCTATGTTGGCAGCCGTGCGGAGGAGTCTGTTTCCCTCGTCGAGGAGGAAGATCCCTTGATTTCCGGATGTTTTCGAGATGAAAACAGCGGCTTTCGTTGCGATAGCTGTGGTTATACGGAAGCAGAAAGGCAGGATGCCTGCGTCGAGGCATGCAGCGTCAGCGGGCGTGGATGGCAGCAGGCCAGAGACAATCCGGACGTGGGTGTTGTAGACTGGTACTAACGTAGCTAAAAGCATATTCGTTGCGATGCAGGTCATCTCTAACCCGTATAGAAGGCGACTGTCGATAATTGCACTCCCCACGTGAAAACGGATGCTGCGGTTGTTCGATCTATTCTGCCGGGAAATGGTCCGGATGAGATTCACTCGGCTGCGGCAATTTTTCTTGACTGCACTGCAATGCTGTTCAAAGTTGAGGAGTCGGTCAACGAGAACTCTCAGAACTCGGACGGTCTTCTTCAGCGGTATGGACGGGTCGTCGATTTTGACATGGCACTTGATGCTTTTAGAGGCTGATAATTCAAAGCCTACTGAGTGGGCCCACCTGGCGACGGCGGAGACTGCCGCTTGGGCTCTCATCCTTATACGTACTGGCGTGGGTCCGGTGGTGACGATGAGAATGTCGTCGGCGTAGACGAACACATATATGTTTCTCGGTAGTTAACGGAAGACTCCGTTCATCACCACGAGGAACAGGGTAACGGCGATAACCGATCCTTGTGGGACACCCGTTTCCTCGGGGAAAAGCCGGGATTTGGTGTTGCCGACTGCGACTCGGAATGAGCGGTTGGACAAGAAGTTCTGGATGAAGTGAACGATGGGTCCGTTAAGACCCCAGTCGATTAGTTGCTTAAGGACGAGGGGCGTCCACGTTCTGTTGAAGGCCTTCGATATGTCGAGCGATACTACCTCGGTGTGTGCAGACCACTGTCGTAGGCGTTCTTGAGAACTTCCCCTAGGGTTGCGAAATAGGTGGACGTTCCGAAATCTTTTCGGAAAACGGGCTGTCGGTGATCAAGGAAATTTCCAGCTTTGAGCTGTTGCTTCAGTCTTCGATTAATCATACGCTCAGGACTTTGGCCATACAACATGTTAACGCTATTGGACGGAACTTGCTGACTTCACGGGTGGCTACCCCGGCTTTCGGGATGGGAACTACCAAGCTTTCCTTCCATACTGCTGGGTACTCGTTAGTGAGCCAGAGCTTGTTGAAGAGGTCTTGTATCCCCAATACAACCAGGCGTGAAAATCTCTATTAGAGAACGCTTGCGCAAAAAGAATAGGGTGGGAAACGGATTCGAAACTCAAATGTAATTAACCAAATACACCCGTAGATCATATAGGTCCACCGTTGTATAATTGGGCAATGCACCCGTGTACTGAATGGGAATTGTGGATTCGAATCCCACCGGTGACCTTAGATTCTTTCGCAAATTTCTCACACACACGTCGCTTACCGATGATATGTGCTTACCTCTCAGTATGTTTAAACTTTCTGTGGGATATCAGCCATCAGGTTTCGTACAGTATCCTCAGATACCTTAGTGGCGCCGTTCCTCGATCTCCTCTTGAAATCATTGATGCCATTTGCTTTCCTCTTTGTTTCGAATAATTTTCGCTTAACCAGAGCCCAGTACCAGTACTTTTCTATTGGGCGAAGTTCTGGACAGTTTTCTCTATTTTTGGCACGTATTTGACCTCTTGTGCATTATGCCATTCCAAGACGGATTTTGCATAGTGACATTAAAGAGCCTGAATTTATAATTATTTGCTCGATTGGAATGACTTTTCCTATGACTTTGACAGACAATCGATTGTTCCAATTTTGACATGTCGCCTCTTTATAAATTAAGGCTCTTTAAGTGACAAGAGGCCAAAACAGAGCTAGAGTGTCGTGATGAATGGTAGCAACAGCATTTGTAATCATTCTTTTTCATACGCATCTTTGTTGATAGTACCGGCCGCAACTCGAGCCCAAATATTTTTTGGGGAATTTAATGCATCAGCTTCTTTGTCCGGAAATACTCGGCAACGGTATTCCTTTGCATTGCAGTATAAAAAGCCAAACCTGGAAGCTGTTAAAAATCTTCGAGTACGTATTTTTTGTCGTCCATTATGATACAAGGAAATTTTTGCAAAAACTGGATTAAAAGCTTCTTAGCACGACTTTTTGCAGTGAAATTTTGCTTATCATTACGATTGGGCCTCTGCTTCACTTTTTGTACATATGATTTTGATTTTCCAACTTTGCGAGCCACATTACGAATTGAAAGGTTTGGATGTTTCTCAATAATGAATACCACCTTTTGGTCGAGCTTCTGGTCCATTTTTTCGAGAGCATATTTTTAGATTTGTTCCGCTTGCAACCTTCCGATCCACAGTTAAGCGCTGGTCAAACGATTTGCACACACTAAACACGGTACTCTTCGGCAGTTTTAGCTTTTTGGCAAGATCGCGTACCGACAACGTTGGATTTTGCTGCCTTTCGTACAAAATGCGTTTCCGTACTTAAACTTGATTCGACGCCATTTTACCAAACTGAACAAGAATTTAAACATGTTGTACCACGAAATAAAGTGGAGAGCTTCAGCTGTCATATAAGTGAAACGTTTCAGCGGTTCGTGGAATATTTCAAAAACTACACTGAAAGAAAAGTGTCCGGACTTTAACGTGGACACTAGGCTTTAATTTAGAAGCGCCTGTTCGAAGATATGACTATCATTTATGATGGATAATTGAAAACTGTCGCTACTGATTGATCTGATGACGTAATATGGAGTTTCTTGTTTTATTGCACACACTTAGTTTTTTCTACCGAGCTCGGCTGTGCAAATCTCGGCAAAAAAAGTTTTACTGAGATCTCAGCAAACATTCCATTTGTTTGCTAAGATTCAGCTACGCATTATCCGAGACTCAGCAATCAAATGTCACTTTTGCTGAGATATCAGTGAAACTTTTTTGCCGAGATTTGCACAGCCGAGCTCGGTAGAAAAAACTAAGTGTGTACGTTCAGGGCTGGTAGCGATCAAAGCAGTCAAAAATAGTGATTTTAGTGAAGAAATATGTTGCCAAACAGTGGCATATAGCTGAAAAAAGTG